ATTTTCAGACAATTTTATATGTATATATATATATATATATATAGTTACGATTCTTACGATGAATATCTCTTAAAATTATAAATATATATGAAATAATAATAAATTACTGTAATAATCAATGCATATGCGTAATCAATATAGTATAATAATACCAATAATAATATAACATTGCTATAACTTTATGATACAGTTTATTTGTTCTAAATTCATTCTAAAAATAAAGGTAAAACGGTCTAATCAACTTAACAAGCAGCCGCGTGTCCGCCAAATTTTCCTTCACGCGTCACGCACGCGAGTATATGTAAAAAGTTAAATGAAGATTCGACGTATCGCAAGAAACGACATAAAACACGCCGAGGAGAACGAAAACAAAAAGTCGCGTAAACAGGACGCAGGATTCACAGCTGCGAATAGATTTCGAGGAAGGAGAAGCTTTCCGGGTAGGAGCGAGAGGGGGAAGTTTCGTACGTGATCGTGGAAGGACGAAGAGGGCCGAAAGGGAGGAAGAAGCGTGGACCGAGGAACCAAGGGAGACGAAGCGAGTTAGCGAGCGGCGGGGGGAGAAGGGGGAGGGGAGAAGGGCGGCTTCGGAGAAGGAAAGAGGAAGTGCAGTGAGAGGGAACGCGACCCCTGATATCAATAGCGGAACAAGTTAGCGGCAAGTCTCGGGTGGGACGAGGAAGGAGAGATAAACAGAGATAGAGAGCGAGGCAGCAAAGAGAGAGAGAGAGAGAGAGAGAGAGAGTGAGATTGCAGGGTCGATGGGGGAAACGGTTTTCGCGCTCGCGGCACTCCTCATCCAGTCATCCTGACGTTTCTGTTCAGTTCTCATAATCACGTCGATCGGCCAGGAGGCGTCCAGTGGTTTCCCGGCAGTATATCGATTAACATTCCGGTCGTCGCCGATCTTGGTCACTCCTTTCGTTCTCCAGGTGTCACACGTCTGGCCGATCACCATGTCGAGCGAGTTTCTCGGAAAACGTTACAAGCTCTTCAGTAGCGAGAATTTCGACGAGTTCATGAAGGCGCTCGGTACGTATAGTTAAAACGAATGCCGGTCGCTCTTGGCACCGCTTCGCTAGTGGTTCAAAGTGCGTCGGAAATATTAATTTAGAACGCGCGCGTGATTGGCATGGAGAAAATTTGAGAGAGAATCGGAAGTACGATAATTAGTCTCTCACAATCAAGTGAGCATTCATGCGATAGATACTATTTTTTGACCTGAAAGTCCCGAAACCGGCTCGATCTGTTCAAAAATTTTTACCTGACTATGTGTTTCTCCTTTTTAGCCCTGAAATCTTATTGGATGAATTTTCACACACAAGTGCTAATTCAAGTTTATTACAGTTTTTGTTATTAAAATTGATAACTTTAATATTTAATAAGGTTATTTAACATTAAGAACGTAAAAAAACATTTTATTTTACATTAAAATAATATTAATTTAGTTATTCTACATTTTGCAATTATTCATTAAAGCATTTTAATTATTTATTATTTCTTACAAAGTAGAATAAAAAATATTCCTATATGTAAATATTCACTTAGACTAGTGTAAAAAAACTAAAATTCTGAGATATATAATCAATCCTCAACTTAATGTTAGATTTGATTTGAATAATAATATAATCAATAGTGAGATTTTCTTTTTTTACATAAGTACGCAATCATGATATAATCAGAAAATATTTGTAAATGTGAATACATAAGATTGTTAATTAACAGTCTTATATATTCACATTTTATCAGAAGTTATTAAAATGTTAGAACCGCAGTTGGCGATTTTTCTAACACAACTCTGCCACGTGTCTGAATACCCTCAGTCATCGTTAAGAACTACATTCCTGTTCTCTTTTCATTACTGTTCTCTTTTCGTTCATGTAAATAATTTCTTTTATTTCGAATTTATTTTCTATCAGTCAGATATCGAACGTTACATAATATTTAACAAGTTTTCCTTCTTTTATTTTCCTCTGTAATTTTCCTAAAGACCTTGGATTATATCACTCTATGTTTAATATTAACTGCGAATGCCTTATTACATTACATTAAACGCAATAAAAGTGCACGGAAAAAGCGGTTCAATTTACAATTCACATCAGCTTGCTATAGTACATGCATGGAAAAAATGACTTAACAATAGCAACTAAATTTTAATAGCTGAATCAAACTTACAGTATAAGAGCTATCGATCGCCTTACAATTAGTGTCATTGCTAAACTTTGGCTATTACAGATTGAAAAACATTCACTGTGGCATGAAATTTTATTAGCTGAGATTATAAATATTATTAGTATAAGAGAGAGCAGAAAAAGATGTTAGATGCACCTAAGTCTCTTACTCATGCACGAACATTACAGAAAATGCTTCATCAAATGTCTAGCAACAAAAATTTGTTGTTACAGTACATAAGTGCAAATAGCTAATAGCTTGGGCATCAACTGTTGCTATTTTCAAGATATTTTAGCTACCACAGCTATATATGAGTTCCTATTGCAAATCTTTTTTCCATGTACTCTACGTTTTCGCAATCAACTTAGAAATGATAATCTTTTATTTATGTCATTATTGTAGCAAATAAGCGATTTATTTTTATAATATTTGTATATAGGTACTATGTTTTGTGTGTTGCGTGCATGCGTGTTGTTCGATTCCTCAAATATTTTTTGTATTATACATAACATTTAAAATTAAAAGAATTTTATTAGTATCAGAATTTTAGAAGTAAATTTTGGTACAAGTTATATAGATTGTCGAAAAATTATTTGGATGAAGAAATCTCATATCCTACTTTAAGAATCTTTAAATCCATCATCACACAGATTATAGAGAAGAGAAAGAGAGATAATTGAGAAATTGTTAAGAGCATTATATAGAAAACGAATGACAGGTCCATAAACGCAAAAGGAATCGAGCAACGTATCGTGCATTGTAAATTGCTCTTTTACAAAATAGCGAATGATTACACACATTACAGCAGACCGTATTATTATCGTGATGAGAACTGTCGTTAGCTTCGTTCCGCGCACGTTTGTGCCATTTGGTCGTGTGGTTAGGATCGACACAACATTGATAATTTTGCGTGCATGTGTGTGGAACGTGAACAAGTGCACGTGGCTAATATATGGAAAATGCGCATGAAAGATAAACATTAGACGAACACTCAGGAGACACCTCATTTATGTGTGGAACTTCACGCATTTTATAAAATAGAAATAATATCAACAAGAGAATAATATTAGTTTTGACATATATAATATTCACGAGAAAAAGAACCTTATAATTCAGTGACCAAAGGGCATGTATTAAGTCTTATGCACAATGAAACACAGACAATAAAAAAAAGAAAATAATGCCTAATATACAATGTGCTCTTTGTTTCCTATTTCTTGCTTTTTATTATTTTTATTTCTTACCTTTTTGCCTCTTATCCAGTTGTTTTGTCTTCTGTTGCCCGATGACGAACTTCGGAAAAGAAATACGTGAAATGAAACGTGATTATTGATAAGACGGACGCAAAGAAAAAGAAAGGTAAAAAGAGGCAAAAAGCAAGAAATAGGAAATAAAGAAATAAATTAGAAATAATAGGAAATAAAGAATGTCGATTGTAGTCTATTCTAGAATTAAGTCTATTCTAGATTAAGTCAATCTATTCTACAATGTGCTTTTTTGTTTCCCACTTCTTGCTTTTTGCTATTATTTACATCTTGTTTTTTTTGCTTACTATACTGTTTTCATTTTCTATCGCTCGAGATAAAAGTTAATGAACTTCGGAAGAAACAGGAACCACATAGCAAGAAATACAATTATCGATAAAACGATCACAAAGACGAAGAAAGCCTAAAAAGCAAGAAACAGGAAACAAAGAGCACATTGTAGAATAACCTTGAGACACAGTTGAAAAACAGTAGGATCAGGTAATACAAAGAATAACAAATTTCAATCTATCATAAACTGTATGTTTTGATATACATGTGTGATTTCTGACAAGTTGAAAGCTATTATTTCTCGTTTCTATAGCTTGTGCTTGTCAATTGTCAGGCTTTATATAAACAATCAAGACTTCAATTTTAATTATTAACCTACATGATTTCCTATAAATTAAAATTTTCGTCGTTGATACACAATTTTCTACAGGTGAAATTTTATTATCTTATGTTAGCCCCCCTCTCTCTCCCTTCCTCCCTTCCCCTTTCTCTACTCTCTCCCTCGACCTTCTTTCCCCCCCCCCCCCCTCTCTCTCGCTCGTTTATACTTTTCATTGTTTATGAAATCTAGGGTTTGAAAAGCGCAGGCAAAATAGGAACAGAGAATAATATTATAGATTTCAATCTATCGAAATTAGTGTATTTTGGTATACACGATATTCTGATAGATTGAAATTTGTTATTTCCTATTTAATGTGCTTTCATTTATGTCTCAGACTGTGCGATGAAAAGTACAGACAATAGGAAAGAGAGGGAGGAAAGGACGGGAGGAGAGAAGAGGGAGAGAATTTGTTTTCTAATTGTATCCTAAGCTCAGAACCTTGTAGAATACATTTAGAATAAATTTCGATTGGAATTATTTAATTGTTTTTAGAAAACAATAGAAATCTAAGAACTCTAATTGAACAATTCCGATTAAACTCTACGCCAAACAGTTCCAAATACGTGCTTTTATAATTTCTGTATCCTAAATCTGCAAACAATCATTTAAGAGTAATATTTGAGAAAAATGTAAATTTGATGTAGATATGGTTCCGCCTACTGCATATCACCATCGCAGGTTTAATCGATTAATTAGTCGTTAAAGTCATTTGTACATCAGCGAGATATCAATGGAGCTCGGAATGTTAATCAATTTTAATACGTTAAATTACGCCCTCTTGCCTCCGTGCAACGACCTGACCTCGATCTTAATTCCGGACACGCCGTGGACCGCCTGATTGTGGTCTAATTTAACAGTTGAATTAATTCATCAACCGGATTAATAAATCCTGTAATTGACAGTCGAATCACGCGAATGCGCGTCCGGTATTTGTACTGATGCAAAATTCAGCTTATCAATCACGAATATCTTTTCACAATGTTATGGAAACCGCGTTAAGATGCGTTCACATTTTGACAAAAAAAAGCAGAAAGCAGAAAAGTAGTAGCCAATCAGAATTTGCACTGATAGTCGATAATTTTGATTTTCTATATTGCTGACTACCAGAGTGAGTTTTGATTGGCTGCTGCATTTCTTCTTCTTGCTTTTCTGTCAAGATGCGAAGGCGCCCTTAGATTCCGTTTCTGGAAACAAATACCTTTGAACGCAAATATTTGTTTCTTTTTGTTCAAATTAATGTTAAAAAAAAGAAACTGTTATTGATTTCATTGATGCTGATAATTTTAATCACTTACCTAATCTTTATTAACTTTAGATAAACTAAAGAACCAGATAATGTCACATACAATTTATATATGTATACTTAATTTTCCTATTTTTATTTTGTTTTATCATATTATCTGCTAATTTATTAATTATTATTTTTTAATTAAGGAGTGTAAATAAGAAACAAACTTCAACTTTAATTATATTGTTTCATTTATATCAAACATACTTATAGGCCCAGCTTTTTCTTAAAAAAATTAAATTATATTTTATTTTTCCTTTTCCTTAAATAATTATTGCTATATTAAAAAAAAAAGACACTCGAAATATCGGTAAATAAACATGTAATGTTTTCTTCGCTACTTCTTGGTTACAAAAAATTTTCCTTGAGATGACTATACTTTTCTGAATATACTTTATTTGTGAAAAATATCTCATTAAAAAATTGTGAAAAATATACAATATAATACATAGTTCATTTACTAGGAATACAATTTAATTTCAACGTATTTAAATAAATCTAACAGTTGTTAATTTGTGTTATTTAAAGGTAGAATTCGAAATCAAACGATTATCTTGTATAAAGTTCTTCATCGTTTGCGAAACGCTCAAAAATTTCCTCTACTGCAATATTGTGTCATACAGTCCTTGTTGCTCAATTTCTGATATCTTACTTAACAACTTTTTATCAATAAATGTGTGATAGTATTCGATTTATCACAACTTTTATCATGCCCTCTCTCATGATATTTTCTTCTTTGATATTTCCTCAAGATAAAACGATACACGACTCGACTTAAACAGCCCTTTAATATGATATGATATATATAATTTGTACATCTCAGAATTTTAGTTTGGCCGAAAAACAGCCAAAACTTAACATCGTCTTTCCTTTCCTCACGCCCATCAATGTAGATCAATTTTAATTTAAATGAAGTGAAATTAAAATTAATCTACATTGGTAGAAAGCGTATCACTTGTAAAAATGTGTATGTATTAAATAACATTTATGTGTGACGGTTCATGATTATTGAGCTCGGATTCGCTGATCGCCAATTGCTTTTATACCGTTATAGATTAACTTCAATCTCGACTCTCGGCTTAATTTACTTTTTATCTTTCTCTACACGAGGAAAAATGTTTTGTTGTATAAACCATTTTCTTATATATCGATAAAATATTTGGTTAAAATATACTAAATACTGTTTCCTCTTGATGCAAATAAGTATTTCTATTATTTATAGTAAAAAAATATGTTTCGCAGAAGCAACTACATTCTCTATTATATAAAACAAAACATATTTGGCTGTTATTTAAAAAAAAATGTCTTATAAATTTTTTTTAAAGACATGGAGGTACATTTTGTGTAATTCTAATTAGAAAAAAATGAAAAAGAAATTAAACCGAGATTTGAATAAATTTATATTTGTAGAAATAGATACATACGTTCAAATAATTGCAAATCAGCCATCCTTATTATTATATGCATGATAATAATATAATAAAATGATTATTATAAAGTAAATTTCGTGCGAATTTTATCTAATATTATAATTTCGACTATTATATATAATTCTATCCGACTAAAAAAAGCCAAATATAGACGGCTTTTTAAAAATAATGCTTGGAACATGATCGCAAATTATACGCAGAGAGCCGAGATGTCGGTATACAAGCAGAACCGTTGACGGACGAATCAACCGTATTCCACCCCTTCGCTCGACGTCGTTACGATAATCTTCGGGTGAACGGTTCGCCGGAAATTAAATAAGAGAGCAAGTCTAGACACGTCGTCTTCCGATGCGTTACTCCGCGGTTAAGTGCGTCGCGGAAAGAGTTAATAGCCGTTTTTTCAAGAACCGCACCAAGGTGATGAGAGATCAACATGAACAACTCACTTACGTGACTCAAACCTGTAATTTCGTTATCACCTGGTCGACGAGATAAGAGTATCTTCACTTTTTTTTTCTTCCGAGGTCACTTAAAGGAACTTTTCCGAGATATGTTTGTCGTCAAGTGCGATTGTGAGTTATCGTCAGACTCTGTGTCTGCCATCTGTTTTTTACTGTTTTAAGGTTTTAAAAAATTCAGAAAAATTTAGGGTCTTACTTTTCAACATTTCTATATTATTAAATAGATATTACAATATTCTAGAAGGGAAAATTGGATTTCATTTTCTCTTATTTGCAAGAAATTTGTGTGAGAGTAAAATTTTGTCTGTGTGCACTGAGAAAAAATCTGGTAATAGCTATCAAATTTTTATTTAATAATTGTTACCAAATGGTTAGTTATATTATTATGTTTAGTAATACTTACAAAATATTTGGAAAAATAAAATTATTTTAGTTATACTAACCGAACACTTGATTAAAATTATTTTACTCAATACTTGGTTATATTATCACACTGGAAAAAGAGTCTGGTTGTATTAATTTAAATTTTGGTTGAAAATGAACGAATTAGAATTTTTGGTTGAATCTATTATAATTCTAATTAAGATAACCAAAATTCTGGTTGATATAATCAGAATCTTCTGCTTCCTTCATTTTTAACTTGAAATTTTTCTTATTGCATTCTTTTTTTCAATATGCCAAAAAAATGAGCAAACGGTTTAATCACGTTTGTTTTTTACATTACCAGTATAGATGAACACTTTAATCTTGAGGTTTCTCCAATTTTTTGACTTTAATTTACTTTATCTTTTTCTAGTTTTAAGAAAATAGAAAAGGTAAAAAGTAATTTGAGCCGAGATAATGTTAATCTACATTGATAAAAATGGGCATAAATCGGCCGATAATCATTTCCTCGAATTCGTGGATAACAAATAATCGCCTTTCCAATAGCTTTGCGAAAAGAATCGTGACCAATCGCGAATTTATAAATCAAATAATTATTAATTTAATCATCCTAAGATGACGAATAAACGCTGTCATTTCACGGATGTGCTGTATTTCCTGTCAGCGATTGACGCAAACTATTAAATACTTTCGAAATTTCTAACTGAGAATGGCATTGAAAATGAGAGTCGAGAAATATTTATCACTGTAAAAAGATTTCTACTTCGAGGATCTCTATTGATTAAGTGCTTCTTGAATGTCAAAGTGACGATGCGTAACACTAACACACGTGATATCACTTCGGATGATAATTCACGAAGTCTATAAATAGCGTGAATGGTAGGTCAAACTTCAAAGTTTACTTCTCTTGTCGTCAGTTTTCAATGCGGAATCAAATTCCGCACCATGATAAACCTACCTACGATATAAAGTCTAATCAATCGTAGAAGCGAGTCCAAGGCATGCAAACCAGCCGAGCTGTTAGTCAGTCTTATTCCCGCAGTCGTCGGTGACAGATCGAACCATGTCGTCGGTATTAACCAGTATCTTGGGCAAACGTTACAAACTTCAATCTAGTGAAAAGTTTGACGAGTACATGAAAGCTTTAGGTGAGACGAGGTGCACGTAAATCCGTTTTTCAGAAGAAATCGATCCCTAGTCTATTGACATAGATTATAAATGCATGTGATGTAGATTGACAATTGCGTGTATTTATGTTTTTTTTTTTTTTGCATATTCTTTATATGTATGAGGAATTGCTTTTCTCTGAAGGTATATTGAGAACTCAATGGTCCTCGGATCTTTATTGATAGGAAATAAAATGTTTCTCGAAAAATAAGCTTCGAAGAATTTTATCAGCTGACAGATAAATATTCATTTTGTCATTCAACTTCGAGTGGAGTTCAATAGATACACGATTTAAAAGTTATGCTAATCAAGCCTGACGCGCTCCAAATCGCTAATTATATGATTTTATCTTTTTATTTGTTTATACTCGATCTGTTACTATATTTAGCAACTTGCGAATTTGCAAGCATATGGAGAGAGCGTATTCCCGAAGCCAGAAGTTCAGAAAGACTTTTTGAAAGTTGGTAGAGCTTTGGGATTACTTATTCAAGTATCCATAATAATAATAATATGTCTTTTAACAATAATTCTTCTGATCTAATAATAGTTATTACATCTAATTTAAAAAATTATTGTTAAAATACACATTGTTATGGATATTTGAATAAATATCTTGGTCAACAAATATTAGGCACATTATTGATTATTCATTATTATTTAAAATTTTAGTTAAAAAATTGATTTATGGCATTTACTGTAAATTATTCTTTGTTGCAAGAATCTTTTAAACTTTATACAATTTCATTAACCAGTGTAACATCTATACAGATAAAATAGTTTCACATGAATAAAAAAAATTTGAATGCTTCATATTTGTTACTAAGACTCCCAAAAATCGATGCTTAAATTCCTAAAAAAAATGTCAATTTTTAAAAAACATTTCCAATATTTTCATCTAGAATAGATGTCTTGTAAATATTTTTTTTTTCTCTTTAATGATAGCTCGCAATCAGATTGTGAAATGTGAATGAGTGCTTTTGCGAAAATAATAAATTACTATGCCGCGACGAGCCATCTGTGTGACATAAATACATCCGGCAAATTAGAATTTTATAGAGCTGATGAGAAGCGTAGGCGATTTTAAAGCAGCTAGCTTATGCCTTCTTTCAGGCGTGGGTATGGTGACGCGCAAAATGGGTAGCAGCGTCAGTCCTGTTATCGAACTGACGGAGAAAGACGGAGTGTATACTCTAAAGACGTCTAGCACTTTCAAAAATACCGAAATAAAGTTCAAACTTGGCGAGGAGTTCGACGAGGAGACCGTAGACGGCAGAAAGGTGAAGAGCGTCTGTACTCTGGAGGGTAACAAACTCATCCAGGTGCAAAAAGGCGAGAAAGGCACCACGATTGAGAGGGAATTCGGGCCTACGGAGATGAAGGCGGTAAGCGTGTTTTTAGATGATTATTCGAAAGATTGATAATTTATTTTTTGAAGCAAACTATACATTTGTTTATAAATTTTATTAATAAATAACTTAATTCATTCGCAATGTATAATATTTAGATCATTGATATTTAAGTCAGTTTTGTACCAATATTTTATTCATAAATCGATATAACGAGCCTTATTGATCAAACTACGTCTCTATATATTATTAACTATATTAAAAGTTAGCAGCAAGGTAACGCTGACCTTCAGTCGTGTAAACACTAAGCAAGAAATATCTCATGTTTCTATAATATACATATACTTGTCTTATGTATGTGATAAATGCGTGAGATCCGCAATTATGAACTAATAAACTAGTATTTGTATTTCTTGAGTATGATTATGGAAACATTATTAACAATTAACGTTAACACTTGTACATTGAATTGACAGCAGTAAATTCTCTGTTGAAAATTATACTTAGAATTCTTTATATTGCATGCATCGTTTTAAATGCCTTACTCAACCTGCGAACTCGAATGATGTGCAATAGAAAATAAGTTATAGGAATGACGATATGCAACAGAACACGAGTTGTACGTATGACGTGATTAATCATGCTGGAAGATGTATTTATCACTCGTGTGCGTGCATCCTTCCTCTCCGAACAACTTGAACTTTGATTCGTGTCGCAGTGATGCGGGCGCAGGAGTTACCAATTAAAGTACAAAAGCTATACGTGAAGGAACGTGACGAGGGACCGTTGCACGAGCAGTTAATGTTATAATGATTCGTCAAATGTCCGGCCAATTATCGCGTGCGCTCCTGTTCGTGACACGTACAATTCTACAGCACCAGTTCCGAAATGGTGCCAATAAAGATCCATTGATCCGTCTGGCGATACGTGTTAATACCGTGAGACACCGGCGCGAGAATAATTCCCACTCTTTCGCTCTTTTACTCTTACAGAAACTACTGCTATTAATAATTCCAAGAGATTACCGTTACGCCGGAGAGCTCTATCATCGTCAAATATTAACTAACGTTTTATGCTATTTTTGTTGTAGATTATGAAGGTCGATGACATAGTCTGCACAAGGGTATACAAACTTCAGGAATAAGGAGGCCAGTACCAAAGTTGAAGACGTGCACAACCCCACACAGGTGCTTCGAAAGTATTCTGAAACCGTGTAAATTATTGTTTGAAAAATTCTTTGTTTAAGTGTGAACAACCCAGTTATAAAATGTACATCTATATATAAAAGACGTCTTTTAGATACACACGTTTGAAAGACTTCAGGTTGAGCGCGAAAGCGTTCGTATTTACTCCGATTTGAGGGCCAATTGACATGGTTGATTGGATTATAGTAACGAGTGAGGGTTAGTTGTTTATTGCGCGACGGGCGCGAGCCACTGATATGTATAAAATATGGATAGCGGATGGGCTGCAATTCATGTGCCGACTTACAGCCGCCATGTTGACTCGACTGTGTCATTTTCGGGAATTGTCGGTATCTGTCGGGTGCATTCGTAATGTTTACATATGTCGCGCGGTTAATACTAAAAAGGCTGTTTTCTGTTCGGTATGCCGTTATAGATTTAGTGATTGTTTTTGTAAATTGGAATGCAATATGAAGTGCTATTTCTGTGGGAAAAAGGCAGAGAAGACTGCATCGGTGCAAAGAACTCTTCATCAGTAAGGGAAATTTGCTAATAAATTACGTTATTAAGGTTATGCGATAAGTTTAACCAATATTTATTCTTGCATGGAAAAACTTACTTTTAATGCATTTCAATATTCTTCTTAGGTGTTCAAAAATGATATTGAAAGAATTACAAATTTCAATTCTTTTTCGTTTACCGGGATATTTACAAACATTTACATTTTATTGCATTATCATTTTATGCAATCATCGACGTTATTCGCCACCAAGCGATAATGTTATGTTTATACTGATTTCAAAGCTCCCGCGGAACCGCTATCCTTCATTCCCCACTCCCCCCATTTCTCAAATGACACACCTGAGTCAACATGGCGGCCCTTCTATTCCGCACAATAATTTAGCATTGCTGGTATATGGCGTTCGCTATCCATATATACATATCAGTGGCGCGAGCACACGAGCGAAGCGAGTGCGCATGCGCGCCCGCTTTGCGCTATACATACCCACTCGTTATACATAGAACTTTTCATTATGAGTGCTCGTCGTAATGTGCCCTATACCGTAACGGTTTTGCGCAGAAGAGTGGGATTAGAGAAATAACTCAACGGCTTGAGTTATTGGCTATTTCCCGCACGCAAAAGCGTTGCGGTACCTGGCACATTACGTGCACGCATGATGAAAAATAATAAGTTTATTTACGGAGTTCTGTTATATAGATCCTGTCACTTCGACGGATCGAACAAGAGTCCACGATATAATAAAACAACCGCGTATTCGTCATTTCGTAAACAGCCATCGTTAAGGTGCATCCACGGAATAAAAAGGAGACTAAGGGCCAATGTCACAAAACTTTAATTAACTAATCGGCCTAGTAACTTTGCAGGCTTCCAACTGAAACTGATGTCGGAGTATTAATGTGAGCATTGTGAGCTCAGCTCCGACATCAACTTCAGTTGGAAGCCTGCAAAGTTACTAGGCTGATTAGTTAATCGAAGCTTGGTGACAGTGGCCCTAAATTCAATAGGCCGGTCATGAAAAAGATGGGTTCGAAACATGGTGTCGGAAAAGCATTGTGTATAGTGTTTTTCATTGATAGAACTGGTGCGCATTGAGTTCGCTCTAGGCGCGGACTGCGTGTTTCAATTATAACATTTACGCGCCGTTCCAGAAATGTTACATTTTGTTTGTTATTTCGATAATTTGAGATGTTAGAAAAAAAATATTCTGCAACATCCAAGAAACGTTTCATTTAGGATGTTTAGCTTATAATAGTTGCTTTCCATTTACACTTAAGTGAAACTGAGTCTGAAGCGAGCTGAGTATTTCATACTCAGATAATGACGTCATTGTTCAGTATGTAAAAGGAACGCGTTAAACTGAGAAATACGGATCTCACCTTTGATTTCGATGAAATATTGGGCTCATTCAACATGTTTTGCACGAAACAAAAGAATCTGAAAAACGTTGGCCCCTGACTTTACGTTTGTTCTTCCAGATTTTTCCGTTTCGTGCAGTAAACGCGTTGATTGAGCCTAATATTTCACTGAAATCAAAAGTGAAGCCTGTATTTTAAATAATTACCGATTATTTGCTATCAATAATTATAATTATTTTATCATTTTATCCTTACTTTTTTTGGTGAGAAAGTCATTGCATACACATAAGTTCATAACCTCATTTTTACGTGTGAGTTTACGAGACTCAGTAAAGCACACGGTCTCGAGCTTGTGCAGATTGTAGGTAAAAACTCAGTTAAATCTCACTTACCAGATGTAAAAGGAACGTGCACTCAACTGAGTTATGACGTTACAAGTGAGAATTATCTGAGTTTTGGTACAAATGGAAAGTAACTAATGTTTTAAGACATTACAACAACATTATATTTGCTACATTACTAAAACATAAATTTCACAATATTCCATAAACGTTCCATATGAAATATTAATTGTAAAGCGGGGAGCACAGACTTTTGCATAACGCATAAACCATATACATAAAGAATTTGATTGGTCCATTGACTCATGCATAAGAAAATGGACCAATGAAATTCCTTATGCACATGCTTTATGCGTTCTGTGCTCCCCGCTTCACACATTGACAAACATATTACACTGCAGATTTTGTACATACATGTGCAAACGTTTTTGAAATAACCACCTAATTTTTCATGACAGCCTTTTAGTAAATAAAGTACATATAAGATTATGGGTTGATGAAGAAAAAGGGGAAAGCATGATATCACATTGATCGAGTTCAAGCTGGCAAAAGCATGCTTTTGCTAAGCGAATGAGCAATGATTGGTTCTTTACCTGTGAATCCAACCAATTATGTTTAATTGCTCGGCGAACAGACCTAGCCAATTTGTCGACTTGAACGCGCCCATTGACTCAAGCAGCACATCGGTATAACTATCTGGCTAACGACCAATGTTATACCAAGCTCATATCAATTATATCTACAGAATTTGTACATTTATGGCTACCATTAAAGTTTTCGGCATATTTAGTAGTATCATATATGTAATACTATTATATGGCTAGTGAGGCGTGGTTTATATGAGTGCGACAAGAAGAAACAGAAGGATAATAGATGCCTGTTGATTGGTTGTCAGGGAGAGATGTTCAAATCGTTCAAATGCGCAGGCGCGGTGTTAAATTCAACAGCTTTATTAAGCAAAATTAGTTACTTTGTATTTAATACAATACAAGATGTTAGCAATAGTTTATTATGTTATGAGAAGAATGGATATATGTAAAAATATTAATTTCCGTAAAATTTTTCAATTAATAAAGTTATATATTAATATAAATAAAACGTAACGAAGCAATGAGAATTTTGCCGTGTAATCTTTTCAGCTGTTTTACAAATGAAACAAACATCTGATGCTGGTATTATATGGTCCTTGGTTCTTTATGTTCGATAACAGTGGCATAGTATTGTTTAATAATTGTAATTTACAAGTTGAACAATATATTTTTTTGTAACTTTGTTACACACATAACCTGCTATATAAAATACGACATTCTTCACAAACGGTGACAAATCCCAAAATGTTTTTACATAATAGAGAGCAAAATCAATCTTTAATTCATTGAAATTACTGGAATCACTGATTGTAATACCTGCAAAATATCACATGTAGCACTTATCGCGCAACAAATTGACGCCTGCGCGTTACAACAAACTGAACATAAATGAGGACAGAATTAGCATTGGCGGCACCGTAGTGTTTCGATCGCAAACCACGCCCCATTAGCCATATAGTAGTATTACATATATGAGTAGTATACATGATATAAATACAAGGGTATGCTCATGGTGGAAGTATACATGGTGTGTTCATTTTACGAGCATCTCTCTCTAAAATCTCCCTTCTCTGTCTTTTTTCTGGGGGTCAATCACGTAACTTTTTCTCTATGGCGGAACCGTGAAAAGTGAAAACTTTTATGAATGTATGTATGAACATATACACACATCATGCAAAAAATTTGCACTTTTCACGTTTCCGCCCTAGGGGAAAAGGTACGTGATCGACCCCCTGCTGTGAGAGACACAGGCTTGCCAACCGTGATTATTTTACGTTAGTTTATACGACTGACTCAACCTTGGGTGCTTTCCAATTACTCAATACATCTTGACACAAACGTACACAGGAATGCACAAAGTGTAGCGTTGTGCATGACTCAGTTGGAACAGCGATTTCCAATAGAGTAAGGTTAATTTTTTAGTACATGCCCGTACCTTGATATTTTGTAATCCGTGGTGGTGCATTTCCGTGTATTTCAACTAGAAGAACAATTTATGAAAAATTAAAAATTTGTTTATTATAATGCATATAATCTAAAAATATTTTCGAAAAGATCGACTAAGAAAACAAAAGGTATTTTAAATTTTATTTCTTTTAACGTTATGAATATATAAAACAAAAAAATATTACAAAGAAATAAAAAATATATATATACATATATTATTTTGTCAAATATATTTATAACAAAAATTTATTGATACCAAATAATTATTTACTTCAATAATATTTTCATCATCCATTTCGTTGCTTTTTCCTTCTGTTCTTTACTGCATTTAAAAAAAAACGAAAATTCATATTCTCCAACCTCATTTATAATCTCCTGACTAGAATGTCACTAGAAAATACAAGGCTACACCAGCCTTAGAATACTATATGTTCTAAGACACCAGCCCTCGACTGAGTACAGATGTGTAGCGTTGTGTCTATATTGGCTGCTTTCCAGCTACGACACAAGTAGACACTGTGTAACACAGTGAATCATTGCATCCCTGTTGTTTGCCTACGTTAAACGAGAATGAAATGATTCTCTGTGTTACACAGTGTCTGATTCTGTCCTTGCTGGAAAGCACCCATCGTGTTTAATTTTGCTGCCGGTTGACTTCCATTTTCAAATTTTAAATGTTACACTGGCTCTACCGTCCTTTTGAGATCATGTAGCAAAATCCTACTTCGTGCATAAAATTTGCACTACATTATAGCCACGGAAATACTATGAATGAGTTCGCCTCACCACCAGCCAAGGAAACACGCTACACTGTCTGAGTGTTGCACTGGTGGATAGTGCAGCCAAGAGAAAATGCTGAAGAACAAGCTCCTTCAATTTAATTTTCTCAGTTTCAGAGTAAACTGGTCTCTTCTTATTATTTCGCATTTTCTATTAAAAATTTACGAGTGAATACGATCCTCAGTTCAGATAAATATTGTCTCAATCGTAAACTGTGATTCAATTTTTAGTTCGGATAAGTGATAAAAAATCCAAGTTTTGGTTAAAACGCGATTTACACAAGTTATTTTTAAGAAATATTTATATTAACTATTACGTGAAACGTGAACTTCGATTCAAACCTAGCTCGCCTGAAATGAAGATGAATCGCAGATCGATCTACAACTATGAAATTGTTACGTGCCACGTTAACTATTGTTAAGCCACATTTTAAATGAAAGTTTTCTACACATATTTTCCTGAATATTCCTGACAATCTTATTTCCAGCCGTTCATCTTATTCGTTTCACCTATCGTTTTTTTCCTTTTAATCCTTTTTTTTACCTACTCTTAAGTGCCCTTTTGAAATTTAGTCTTACCAATATTTTATGACTTACCTCTAAACGGATAGTTGAGTCATCGTCACATTTCTCCAGGTTTCTTTCATCCAAAATACAGGCCTTAACATGGCTGGGTATATCACACTACAACGATATTAGACTATATGTATAAAAAGCTAATTGTAATTTGTGTTAAAGTGTAACTTAAAAAGATTGTAGAACGTACATACATTTTTTATAGAGTTAATGGGTCAATTTTAAGTAAACGAATCGTAAAATCACAAACTGTAATGTTTATAACTTTAGTAAAGTTTTTACAGACAACATTCTTGCTAGTCGTAAGATTTACGAGAAATTGTAAGTATTTATGAACGATCATATATTTTATGATACGTGTAGAATTACAATTTCAGTCTTAAGTTCTTACAAATCTTACGAGGACAAGTTACGAGCCTTACGAGTTTAGTTAGAATGGATCCATAAAACTCATATATTTATATGCGTTTATAAAAATGATGTATCGAATGATAATCAAAGTTATAAGAAATATATTAGTTCGTCTGTTGTGCACATTTTCTATTTATAACATATTACGTAATAAAATATATAATACCGTCAACAAATTATGTTCCATGTACAGCATATGTGCTGTACTATTCTACGAATTTGCTTTTTTCTATGAATAATAATAATGTCTAATGAAAATATACATGTGTTTTCATTCAAAAGTTTCGTAACTGTTAATTTTTTAAAAATATGTTGTATATGATGTATGTATAACGAAATAAAATATTTATTTAAAAATCAAATCTAACATATTTAAAAGATATAAGAAAAAAGTGTCGATAAAATATGTATAAACAATATTTAAGTATTTATTAAAGTAATTTTATACACAGATGGTCATTTGAGTATATATTTTTTATATCTGACTTAATACGTTTACCAGTATTTATCATTCCACATTTCCAATTAATGGAGAAATCTGTAAATTAAATGTAAGAAAATTTATATCTTATACCTATATATACCAGATATATCAGTACATCATAGAATATAAAATTATACAAAATACTGTTGTAAAAACTATTTAACTCTAAATTAATATTACGATGGTATATATAATCTGATTATTCATATTTAAAATTATTTAATTTATTATAAAAAGCCTTACGTAATATTCCATGTAACATGTATTTCCATTTTCGGTTTTAATCATATATTGAAAACATAACAGACCGGCGTTATTGGTTCTTAGAGAAACCTTACTCGCACACGATAACGCCTTCATTGCAGGTTTAATATGTTCTAACTTAAAAGTGGACGTAACCGTCGTCGTACATTGAAATGTGTCTATTAAATCATTATCATATGGCAAGTCGATGTGGCAAATACCGCCTAAACCTTCGGTACTAATTCTAAAGAAGGGTTCTTCTGGCGATAAACATAACTAAAATGTGAAAACGTCATATTTCAAAGAGATATTTAACTGCCGAAAGTAAATTTTTAGGTATCTTAAAGCTAGACTTGAAATTGAAATCGCTCATTATACCTTGACTAGTTCACTAGTTGAATCTAATTCGGTCATGGCATCCTTTAATAATTCTGTTTGCAAAACTACTTTATTTACAACGTTTTCTGCCTCAAGATGAAAATCTAACAATGCCTCTACTTCTAAAGTTTTCAACGAACAGTCTGTTATGACCCCATCTTCTTCAATGATAATACTTAAAGGATAGCCTGTACCCTACAATAAATAATTTTGATATAAATATTGTTCTAACAATAAAAAAAAATTACATCGTTATTTTAACATTATGATTAAACAATGTGATGTGTACTTTGAATTATTTTTTTTTTAAAGAGGAATTCTACAAATGACCAATTTTGGTCTTAAAAAGGCACCTTTAAAACCTATGTATATATCAATTATTACTTTGAAAGTCCACACATTCATAAAAGAAAATTCATTTACACAAAGTTTGGGAAATTTTTAAAAATAATAAAGTAGATTGTACACTTTGCAAAAAGATTCATTTTGTTTCTAATGAATGTTAGATTACAAAAATATTGGTCTTCTTTGTACTTAATACATATATATGGAACAGTATATGGTACAATATTTGGTCCAACATGTTTTAAATGTAAACATTATTAGTTTCAAAATCTATTGTTTATTAGAAAATAAATCTTTTTGCAAAGTGTACAATTTACTTCATTATTTTTAGAAGATTTCCTAAGCTTTCCTGTGTAAATAAACTTTCTTTCACGATCATGTATACACTTTCAAGACAATAACTGCATAGATTTTAAAGGTATCCGTTCATAGAAAAAATTGGCCAATTTTTAACTCCCTCCTTTAGTATAAGTGTTCTTTTCATTAAATTTCTTGTACTGTCCATCTTTTCCTTTTTTTCTTTTCACATTAAAAGAAAAAGAAAGGAAAGAGGAACGATAAAGCTAATTTAAAGAAAAAGAAAGAAAAGAGGAACGGTAAACAGAACAAGTTTTATAAATCAGAAAAATAAAATCTAAAAATTTATTTGAAGTTTTTTTTGTTTCAAATTCTAAATTCATTTTAAATACCATATATAAAAATTATTTTGTTTTTACTAAGATGACTCAATTTTTGTTTACTTTATAAAATATTTGCACTGTGACAGAATCTTCTTGCGAAGTAGGCCAGAACATACAAAGACACTCCACTAATATGTTCAAACTTAATGAGAATATCACGTCCTCTTTCAATTCAAATTCGTCAAAAACTGTAGATGGGATGTATGCACTGGCTTGCATACATTTCGAATTCTCAACTGTTACTTTCAATCCATTTTCACTACCAAGGCAAGTAGCAATCTAAATAATTACCACATGTTATGCTATTTTTATCATAGAAAAACAAATATATTCTATCACAAGTATATATCCTACAAGTACCTCTTTAAAATTGATAGCTTTTAATAATTGTGTTATAATCTTTAGATTTGTCAATCCTACTTTTGCAACCAACATGTAGTCTTCTGTATTAGAAGGCATCATATTTGTTCAAAGCCTGATATAACAATAAACTATCAAACTGCTTTTGTGTCAATTGCTGATGCAACAATTTCTCATTGTCGACACTGGCTAGCCAAGCTGCCAAAACATGTTTACATGTAAAAGCAGACCGATCTGTTAGAACCTGATGTCTGTAACATTATAAGAGCTTTTATGAGAACTTTTTATGGTATCTTGTATGTATAAAAGTATTTATATTACATGTATAAGAGATATTTCTTCATGTACATACAAATTTTTAGAAAACGTAATTGCTTTATCTTTTGAATAAATAATTTATTTACATAGGACATTATACCTGAAAGCAGCACACGTACAATAATTTATTTCTGGAAAAAGTGTGTACAATGCTCCAGAATGCCCTTTAACTTGCATTAACCAGCTGGCCTCATTAGTACTTTTGCATGGCTCTGTTATAATTGTATTAGATGTAGAAATTTGTGTCACTCGTTGTTGTTCATACAAATCTAAGGCTCTTTCAAACACTCCAACAAACAGCTTGTGTAATTTTAGTAGATTTTGATCAGAGACTGAAAGTATTTATTATTTTATTGCTCTACATAGATTATAAATACATATATTTAATCATTTTAATTTCATTTAAAATTTATCAAATACTTTTGATAATTTTTCAGAGATAAAAAGAAAAATTCAATTAAGAAAATGATACTTTCATGATCATGATTATATGTAACCTTTATCTTAAAACAAAATTATAAAATGTTAAAAATAAAGAATGTGTACTTTCTCTTTATGTACTTATTTGTTAGATTTTTTAATTTTATCTAAATCTCTTTGTTATTTTTTTTTTGTTTTTATATTCGCGATAATAATTGAGAGAACGTAATAAACTCGAAACTCATGTATACGCTCCTTTTTAATTTATAAATTGAAGAAGGAAACAGAATTATGTCAAATTATTAAATAGTGTAATGTGTCACATACATTTTTTCTCTTTCTGAAAATCGTCTGCTACTTCCTTCAGTCCGTTATCCACGAAATCCATATATTTCTGATCGTACACAGTAGGCGGTCGAGAGCCGGTATCTACTACCTGTTGATACGAATTCATTGTAGTAAATGGAGGTTACGGTTCTGTACTTGAAATTTTCCCGAACCAAAACGTTTGTTGTCACATCTTATGAGATATCCCATGTATGTACTTTTAAAACGCGATTCGAACTTGACTCGTCTTTATCAAATTATAAACAGGTGAAAGAAGAAATCATTTGGTATCGTAAAAAATTTGTCAATTAAACGATTATATACCCGAAATTATTCTCAATTATTCTGAAGAACGAAACTAAGAGCAATAAGGTTAAATAAGCTTCATGATGGAACCGATGGAAACAGATGGAATCATGGTGGAAGTAAAGGCCGCAGCACACACTTTTGCATAACAATGCATAAGCGAATCAACCAATCAGAAAACTTTCCTCTCAGTTCACAAAAAAGAATAATTTTTATTGGTTAATTCTCTTATGCGTCATGCAAAAGTGTGTACTGCGGCCATTAATCTGGATTGAAAAATGCTTTGCTATTGGTTGACGTGGTTATAAGTATACTATACCAATAGAAAAACACGAAACGTCATTAGTATTGTTCGTTTTGTCTCTCGGGAGCTGCTCGGAGTCGCTCTGAATAAACCCAGCGTACTTGGATGTGATCCATTTAATGCTGCAAATGCTTCGTTGATCAATCAGAAGAAAAAATTTTATGAATTGATCAATCAAAGTATGTTTCGAGGTATTTACAGCATTAAATAGACCACATCCAAGTACGCTAGGTTCGTTCGGAGCGACTCTGAGCAGCTCCCGAGAGACAAAACGAACAATACTATTAATTCAAGACAGATTGATGTAAACCCGCTGGGGCCAAACGCTATAAATATTTGGACGCCCAATAAAAGAGTACGTATAGTCACCCTAAGGCTGGGTCCACAACCTTGCTTTAAGAGGCCGTAAGCCGTAAAGCCGTAAGAAATTGATCAATCAGTTGAATACGAGAAAAATAATTTTTTAAGGCTTAGGGCCTCTTAAAGCGAGATTGTGGACCCAGCCTAAAGTTCATTACAGTTTTTTAAGATTTTTGGGGGGATTATTAATATTTCAGATAGATTGCGTTAAAAGTCCTATAGTATCGGTACGCAATTATATAATTCTGAAATAAATTATATTTAAAAAATATATAAGTTCAACATTTAACTTTTCACACACGTAACCGTAGATATTATGTAAATTACGTTAGAGGATCTTTAAATTAAACTATTAGAATAATATTTAGAACTCTTTGCGCGCTCGGACGTCCTTTACTTTCTCTTAATATAAATATAACACAAATATGCATATATAATGTGTTGTATTTAAACATCCGTGCGAGCATTATTTAATAACCGACTACGTACTTTTTCTGTTCTGCGTTTTAAATGTAAATAAATTCGAAAGAGAGATTACAAGGTTTTTAAGATATTCTTAACTTTTTTGACTTAATCAAGAAATTTAAGAAACATGTTTCAACTTTTCGTGGTGATCGTCATACTTTCTATACTGATCAACGTGGAACTGCGAAGGTGAAACTATATAAATGCTGATTTACAGTACATTTTTTAATAATAATTAGAACAAAATCTGTATAGGAAAAAATGTATTTTGTATGTCAAAGTAAAGCCATAGAAAAATGATTTTGAGAATCTTATTTATTAACAAAAAGGCTTATAGTTTTCCACTTTTTTTTATTGTATCTTAAATGAGATATAAGCGTCAAAAAAGAAGAAATTCTAATTAAAAATAATTAAATTTCATATAACTAAACTTTATCAGTAAATATAGATAAATTTAAGTAGCATATATTTTTTAATACTAAAATGTGAAAGCTTCAGTGATTTTTATAAATAAGAAATGTTTCAAAATGATCAATTAATTCGTCTAAAATTCTTATATGTTATATTTTGTACAATTATTCGTATATACGTATATATAATGATGAGAGATATACGTATAATATAATTGAATTTTTTTATGTTGCTTCAAGAATTCCGTTGTACAAAACAAACTCCATTCGAAGATCGATTGATATCGATCGTCGATGGGATCGTTTATCTAGGAGTACTGACGTTGTAAGAGTACCCCTGTATAATGATGGAAATAATGCATACTATTATGGCACTATCACTATTGGAACTCCACCGCAAGAGTTTAATATTCTTTTCGATACTATTTCCGCAGATTTCTGGGTACTATCCAAAAAATGCAACACTACACCTTGTTGTAAGTATATCATAATACAGCTTGAATTGGGAATGGAAAAAGTAATGCATTATCGTCGTTACTTACAAGTAAGCCTACCTAAGTGTTACACTTTTAAGAGGTGAAACACTCTTTTGAAAAAAATCGGTTTTTCTCTTTCAAAGCAAATATCTTCGAAACTGTAAGTGAAAAAAAAGTTCTAGAATGTGAAAATTGAATTGTTTTAAGAGTACTTTAATTGCATTATATAACTATAATAACAAAATTTTTTTAATTATTTATTTATTGTATATCCCCACATAAATAATTACAATTTTTTTTATTATTGTGGCGGCCCGCCACCAGAAATCCAAGGAAAAGACTCGCGCCAATTCTCGCATGTATTCGAGACACGCGAAATCCTTTCATATAGAACCTCGAGATTTAAGACTTCCTCAGGCGTCTGGGGCAGGCTCCCACTACAATGTTTTACTGGCTGTGTTCAAAAATTAACTGTCAGTACTGAAAATCTATAGTTTATGTCACGAACACTATAGGTTTTCAATAATGGCAGTCAATTTTAGAACAAGCACACTGACGAGTCCAGTAGTGGGAGCGCCAGGACGAAACGCCGCTGTAGATGACAACATTTCGCATAGGCCTTACAAAAGAGGCCAAATAATAGTTATAAAGTACTCTAAACCATTTAATTTTCATTGCAGAATTTTTTTTCTACTTCTTATAGTTTCGAAGATATTCGCTTCAAAAGAGAAAAACCGATTTTTTTTCAAAGGGATGTTTCATCCCTTAAAAGTGCATATGGGCTCATATAAAAAAATACGTGTCGCTTATTTTCATCTGGAGAACAACATACTAAAAACTCATCAAAATCGGAATGTAACACTTGGATTTACTTGTTAGAAAGTATGTATATAGTTATAACAATTCGTTACTTTTTTCGGTACGCTTTTGTAATATTAAAGTAAAATATTAGGTTAATTCTACAATGTGCTTTTTGTTTCCTGTTTTTGCTGTTTGTTTCTTATCTTTTTGATCAAGAAGGCAAGAGACAAACAACAAGAAACAGGAAACAAAAAGCACATTGTAGAATTAGCCTTAGATTTAAAAATCAAATTATTTAACAATCAATATTGATTGTAAAAATCAATATTGAACCTTATCTAATAAAACTAAAAAATTTTTTTATATTAGCACTTTTACTTTTTAAATATTAATTAATTAACTATTATTTTAATAAAATTTTTTTACAGTGTCACATAATAGATACGATCACAATAAATCCAGCACATACAAACCAAAATATGAAAGATTCAGTGTTGTATATGATGATGAGGATAAAGTCGTAGGATACTTATCTACTGATGTACTAAATGTGAGTCATTGACAAGCGAACAATTTTATTTAGCTTCACTTTTAATGTAAAAATGTTTTAAATCACACATTAACTTCGTAGATTGCTGGTACTAATGTTCAAATTCAGACATTCGGGGAAGCGATAATTGAAATGGGATTCGATGATGTAAAATTCGACGGTATCTTGGGAATGGGTTTCTCCACGATATCTTTCGAAATGTCTCCTGTTTTTACCAATATGATTAAACAAGGCCTGTTGCCACGGCCCGTTTTTAGTTTTTATTTAAATCGGCATGTATCTTTTCTATGCGCCTCTTTTCCAAAAATATTTTTCACTTAAATAGTTTTTATCCTCTTATATTTGAAAATTTAATTTTCTGTATTATAAAAATATTGTTTTTCCACATAAAAAAAATACATAATCTGTACAGGAATTCCTCGTCCAAATTGAGTAGTGAACTAATATTGGGTGGTTCCGATAAAAGACTTTATACAGACAAATTCACGTACGTTAATGTTACCTACGAAAAATTCTGGAATTTTACTATAGATCAGTAAGTTTTTTTACTTGATTACTTTTTAAATTATATATTTTTTATATTACGTACATCAGTTACAAATCATATACTAATTAACTGTTAATGTTGTCGTACTGTCACCCAATCAGCATACCATATTTAAAAAATATTTTTTTAATATTTATTTAATGTAAAATAATTGTAAAATCATTGAATAAACATTTAAAAAATGTTTCTTAAATATGGTATGCTAATTGGGCAGGATTGAAATAGGAGACGTGATTTTATGCGTGAATGGCTGTCAAGCTATTATCAACACGGGCACGCCTGTACTAACTGGACCGTTACCAGATATCGTAGTTATTAATAAACTGATCGGAGCTATTAATACTGAAGAAACGACCATTGTAAATATAATAACACTTATCGCAATAACAGTTCTTTTTTTTAAATAAAATATAAGTTATTGAAATATTTTAGTTAATGTTTAATATATATTATTATCGATTATACTAATATAGTTTATTAACATCACTTCGTTTAAAGGTGGACTGCGACAAGATTCATAATTTACTCAATATCTACTTCGTCTTAGGTGGCAGACCATTCGAGCTCAGTGGTGAAGATTATATTATTAAGGTAAATGTCGTCAAATGACGTTTTAAATATTTTTAAAATAGAAACATTATGCTACAATCAATTTGTTATAGCTCAAGCAAAATGGTAGGACGAAGTGTATAAGCGCTTTTGAGAGTGCGGATATGAGTGAATATATGGAAGCAAATTGGATTTTGGGTAATGTATTTCTTCGTCGGTACTATACCGAGTTTGACATGATGAACGACCGAGTAGGATTTGCCCCTGCAAAATAAATATTATTTTCTGAAGAAGTTACTGTTAAAAGCTAGAAGATCTAAATGCCAATAATAAACGTACACAATTGGATCAATTTTTTAAGAGCTTGATTCTTGATTTTTGTTATTATTGTAATTTTTATTTATGATTATCTAGAGGATACGTTTTTAGATAAATATATATATGTCATATTTTAGGAATTTAGAACGAAGATATTTTATTTTATATTAGGCGAGTTTTTTAATTCATCGCTTGATTATTATATTGTTATAAAATATATATGACATAAGCGATGGAATTCTCTAAATAAGTAGTTTTTTAAATATTTATTCTAGATATGTTATCCTTTTCTTAATTAGGTGTGAAGAAAAAGATAACGTGATTTTAGCGATCATCGTATCTATAATAAACGGTATTGCAAAAACTCTCTACTATATTGCTCGTATTTATAGCCAGACCTCATATTTAAGGCTTTCTTAAATTTATCTTCAGATGTTCTATGAATCTTTTTTATTGGCTACTGAGAATTTAAAGATAAATTTAATGAAGCCTTTTAGATATAAGGTCTAACTGTGGATATGAACATATCTGTTACGGGATTCTCTAAACGTATTTTCAGTAATTGTTGTTGTTGGGTCTGTTCGCGTTGCATGAAATCCCCAAATAATTTTGCACTTAAAATGAGATAGATATATATATTCGGAGTTAAAAAGAGAGAAAGCGAAGATGGTAAGTGCAAAAAGTGCAAGCAACGCGAACAGACCTGTAATGGAATTCTCTAAATGTTTTATCGATGATTGTCGCTATCATTAACTAGCGACAGCCAATGGCAGGACAATCGTAAAAGAAAGCGCGGCTCTCATTGGCTGTTGCTAGTTAACAACAATTATCGAAAAAACGTTTAGAGAATCCCGCAACTGTTATCGTTAACTAGCGACAGCCAATGAGAGCTTCGCTTTTTTTTTTTTTAGGATTATCCTGCCACTGGCTGTCGTTAGTTAATGATAGAGTCCTAGATATCAGAGAAGCGCGACCGATGTGTCGCGTGCTGTCGGCCAATCATGACATTCATTCATTGGTACTAAAAATGGCTGACTATAATAGACGATTGGAGGATTTCTTAGTTCGTCTGCAAACGACGCCATTTTTAGTACTTTTCTTAGTAATATTGCGATACTGACTTAAGCCAATTGCGCTTCTCTGATATTTAGGACTATAGTTCGCAATTACGCACGAGAATTAAATAAAGAACATATGTATAAAGGACTTCTAAAGATTTCTAAAGGACTTATCGGTCCTTTGTTTCTACAAAATAAACGATGATTCTTTTATTAGTGATTAACAACACTACTGAAACATCGGCTGCATTCAGCAGACTCAACAGTTGCATCCGTTTTATGATTCGTCTCGCTAATTGGATTATATTTTTATGCCTAGTTCATACTGGATGTGATGGGCGATGAACGACGAGCGATATCCAATAAAAGCTTTGCTTTTGCTCACACGACGATGTAAAGCAGAGTTCTTATTGGTTATCGCTCGTCGCGCATCGCTCATCGCGCTCTAGTGTGAACTAGATATTAGATTTAAAGGAATAGTTCTATCTCAGCGAAGAATCATAAAACAGTTGTAAAACTGTTGAATCTGCTGAACGCGATATTGCTAGAATATAAACTAGAAAGAGAGAAAAGGTTATAATGGAGAATAGAAGTGAGATAGAATATCAAAGAGAGAACTCTGATTGGTTACACGCCTCGCTCGCGCATGTGCACTTGTGCAGTTTATTTTTATCTACGCTCTACGGTAACATCAAAAGTGTCGATAAAGAGTTGGGCTGCGTTCAGAATCATCATCTGAGTGCACCCAGGTGTCGTGTTATCCTTGTTTATCATTCGTGAACAACAAGGATAAAACAACATCTGGGTGCATCCGGACGACGATTCTGAACGCACCCTTGCGCTACTGTAAATACTGTAATAGAGGTGCGTTTCGAATTGTGTATGAAGTGCATGATGCGTTATTTGTCATTATTGCTTACCGAATAATATAGAAAAGAATGCAATGATACATCATACGCTTATGCGTAATTTGGAACGCATTCTAGAACTGTTCGCGTTGCACTTTTTACACTTATAGCATCTTTGTTCTCTCTCTTTCCAATGCCTGAATATATATTTATTCCGTGCAAACATTCTTGAGGATTTCAAACAACGCGATAAACCCCTCATTAATGTTGTTATCACGTGATCGAATACGTTGGTAACCCTAACCATTTGAAAACAGGTTTAGTTTCAGACGTTTCACTTTTCAGTAGGTACTTAGGATTTAGGTAGAAGGTAGTAGAAGGACAGAACAGAAAAGGTAAGTGGGTAAACGTTCTCTAGCCGTTATTGGTGTCACATTCTCTTGAATTTTTGACTTTTAGAACGAATTCTTCTGTTCTCCCATTGTTACTGTTGTATATGGCAGAAATTTCCCAGGAAATTAAAATGAGCAATCGACGAAGACGTGCCCACGATTTTACAGATTCTTTAAATAGTTTTCGTAAGTATGATAATGTTTTTCTTGCATTATAATGCTTAGTCAACATTTATAATTAAAACTGTTGTAATTGTACACACAATGCTATTATACTGCTTTGATAAAAAAATATTAGACACTCATCTTTTTATTCTTCTGGAATTTGTTTTATTTGCTTTGTTACTATTGGTCGTACACATTAGTATTATACATAAGTTAAGTCCAGATCTACAATAGATGTTTTAAGCCATAAGCCATAATAAATTGACTAATTACAGTTGAATATGAGGAGAATAGTCAATTGTAATTCATTCATTTCTTATAGCATATATAAGGTTTACAAATCTGTTGTAGATCCAGTCTAAAGGTTTCTTTAAATGAAAGACAATTTACAGCAAATGCCATAAATCAAATTTTGATCTAAAACTTTAAGTGATAGTTAATAAGGTCCAATATTTTTTATCAAAGCTGTATATAAGTATAATTAAATACTATGTACACATATATATGTAATATTTATATAATATATACTATACAAAAATAGAAAGGCATTATTGATCATGTGTGTATACATATCTACTGCAACAAAAGAAACTTTTTAATGAATTATTTAATTTTTATATCTTCAACTGTTTCCTAGGAGTAAGGATATAGTATAATCATTTAACCCTTGTTTAACATTGACAAATAATGAGAATACAATAGATGTATGTCTAATACAATAGTGTGTATATATATATAGATATGTATATATAAAGTATCTTATATAAATATGTATATTTACAGGTCAAACAATAATTAAGGATGAATTGAGTCTGATATCGTTAGATGATTCTACAAAAAATACGCAAGATGAATATAATAAATATACCTGCTCAAAGAATAATATATCTTGCGATGCATCTGTCATTCTAGCAGGTAGTTCAACCGGTCAGCCGTGCAATATTGTTAAGGAAAACTATAATACGGCATATAAAAACATCAGGCATCCTCTGTTAAGAGATGATACATTGATTGTATCAGACGAAACATCATATTTGTCACTTAAACCGGACTTGAACAAATGTATAAATTTATTTAATAATGAATACTTGAATGAATATGATAGTGCTAAAGAACAATTAAGTTCCACCCTATCCGAAGCTAATGTCAGCACAGACATTATTTTTCGAAATTTAAATAAAAATAAGTCCATGGGACAGAGCCTTAATAATCGTCCACGTTCTATGTCAACAGAATCACTGAGAAATATAATACTTAATCGAGAACTGAGAAGATCGAAAAGTTATACTGTACTTGATAAAGCTTTGAAGAGGGATAGGAATTACAATATTAAACGTGACCAGTTTTCTTTTCCTGTTAAGAATACAGTGAAAACAAATTATAATGCAGAAATTGAAACAATTTTTCCTCCTTTGGAGACATTATCGTTGTCAAAACTTTCTGCTGTATCAAACAGGAAAGATGATTCTACAAAAGAGCATGATTCAGTAAACATTGAAATGAGTTCCAAAGACGAACTCAATCCTTCTGAGTTAAAAACGTTTCTACAATCGTTGGTAGATCCAGAGCCATTGGTAGAATCATCTGCGCAACAACGCTTGTTGAGGCGTTTATCCACACATTATTACGATTCACCAAAAGTTTTTACAGAAGGCTTACTAACGATAATCGAAGAGTCGGTTATAAACAACGATTCTTGTGCACAATCGCAATATCCAGAATTTAGTTTATTCAGATTTAACGAAGAGCTAAGGAAAATGTGTAAATTTCTAGAGGACGAAACCGCTCCTGAATGGCCAGGGTCTCCCGGCATGTCGACATCATTTTGTGCAAAAAGAAAAAGCCAAGGACTTAATGATCTCTTACGAAAATCTCTTGGTGTTTTATCTCCTGATAAGGACTTACATTTTACAATGCCTGTGTCGTCGCCATGTAATATTAAAAGTCCCAAGAAAGCGTATCGGCGCATATCAAAAAATATTTCCTATAATACGAAGAATGTATTTAACGATAGTACAAATACGTTTGAAAGCTTGGAAGCGATGTGCAAAAATTTGTATCCTGATCAAGACTGTACTGTTCCAGCAAAGGAGAAGAACTTGTTACAGTCTCCTTTACAAAATATGGTTAAAATCTTGCGTACCTGTGAAAACCAAATGGCCTCTTTGGAGAACTCACCTAACATTCACGAACGGGTGAAAAAAGCTGGAACATGTACCTCGGACTCAGCATATCAGCGCAATAAATTACTTGAAGAACAGAATCTGGAGCATAGATTGTTACTAAATGAAAAATATGATAGAACAGATTCGGAGAGAGTACCTGATATACTGTGGCAAACAGAACATGGTAAATGTCAAGAAATGATCGAACAAAATGATTTTGAGAACACGGTTATGTATGAGATTGCGAAAAAAAGACAGAAGTGCCTCGACACAGTAAAGGTAGTGATGGAAATTGATGAAACCTTCAAACCTTTGGAACAAATTCATCTAAATATCAATGATTCTTCATCGATTGAGGACGATAAGTTCATGCAAACACTCATAAGTGTAAAACAATACCAAGATTATCTAGAAAAGTATAAATCTTTGCTTGGTTTATTTCATCGGACAAAACTAAACACTTGTACGCCTTGCGATCGACAAGCAGTCCAAGATAAAAAAATCGACAAGCAGTCCAAGGTAAAAGCAGTCCAAGGTAAAAAGCTGTCAGTTGTATTAAATGATAAACAAATTTTAAAAATACCTTCACCGAGAAAGAAGAGTATAAGTCCTTCAACAAAATGTTCGACTAATGTTGTTTCAAAACCAAGATTATTCATAACTCCTGGGAAGACCCCTTTTAACAGGAATTGTAAACTGAAGAGAACTTACTTTCCTAATTTGTTACCGGAAAATAAGCAAAACAAACATGTAAGTTCTCAGGCAAAGAGTATTTATCGACAAATGGGAAATTACGATCATGTAGTTTCCCCAGTTGGAGCATACATAAAGGGTACAGAGTCTCGTCTGACAAAAAATGACCAACCTAAAAGAATATTAACTCAATCGCCTAATTCAAAAGTGAAACTTCAGTCGTCTTCAAAACCAAAAAAGGTAAATAGTAATAATAAAGATATAAATATATAATTTGCAAGATCTCTTCCATATAATGTATTAAGAATTTATCTAGCTTTACATTATTTCAGAAGTTGACTGGGACAACAGTAGGAGACGAAAATGTAGCCAATAACTTTTTGCATCCAAAAATGCATTACAATTATCCGTCGTCTTCACATATAGTATGTAATATAATTCGTATATCAAAAATTTAGTTAGTTAAAATAATATATTAATTTAAAAATAATGTATTAATAATGATTAAAAAATTGTTTTCTATATATATATATATATATATATATATATGTATTTACGCACAAGCACATACATGCGTACACACATACCTACACAGTCTTGGCCAAAAATGTTGGACATCTTATTAATCATTATTTAAAGTTTTAGCTCAAAAATTGATTTATGGTATTTGCTGTAAATAATTATTCTTTCTTTCAAGACTATTTAAATTTACACAATGCCGGTATAATCAATAGGTAACAATGCAAGTAAAAAAGTTCTAGATGAACGGAAAAATATAAGTGCTTAAAATTTTTGGCCAAGATTATATTGTATATACAAAATGGCGTGTAAAAATTTCTAATTAGAATTTTTCATGTTTTCTTTCAAAAATGAAGACTAAAGGAATTTTAAATAGTATTGTATGTAACCAGAAAAATAATATAAGAAATGAATGTTATTTATATAGTATAAAGTAATACTACATAGTCAAAATTTTTTGACCTTTGTTTTTGAAAGAAAAGATAAAAAATGCGACGCACGTGTGCACACGTATATTTGAATTAAAATTTTATATTACATTATTTCAGGAGGTACAAAAGTAATCTAAAACTTGGAGTAGATGAATACCGAATATTTTAAGCCAAAAGTATCCGGTCCTGGACAGCTCTGGCGTAATACATTCTGATTTATATCACACGTTGATGTTTTTATAAAAAGACTATAATTTTATTTTTATATACTATCTCAGTTTTTATTAAATGTGCAATTTATAAATTATTTTTGGTCACCAATTATTTCGCATTTTTTGTATCGTAAAATGCTTGTATTTTTTATTGCATACTATTTTATTCCGCAATATTAAAAGTAATAATTTTTGGTACAACTTGATCACAACTAGAATTTTACCGTAATCTACTTCAAGAAACAGGTTTGAATTTGAAAAAAAAGGATTTAATCTTTCTGATGTCTCCAAAGTTACAGGAAGAAGAAAATCAACTTGTACAATTTTACAAGTTAATTTTTTTCTTCCTGTAATGTTAATATTAGAAAGATAAATCTCTTTCAAATTCAAACCTGTTTCTTGAAATAGTTTGCGGTAAATATCTCACAAGTGAGAATTATCTGAGAATCGGAGTAAATGGAAAGCAACTAATATTGTATACATCGCTAAACGAAATAATGGCCTCGAATGTAAAATAAGAACGAGAAGAAAACACGGAACACTTTTTAATTTGAATTACTACGAACGAATCTCGACAAAAATGATTTTCCGAGAGACGTAAAATTTGCTGTGAAAAATAGCACAAAGATGACAAGAAGCTAAAAAAAATTCGATAGAAATATCTCGAAGTGTGTGTAGAATTCATCAACTGCGCGATTTTCGGAATTTAGAATGTGGAAAGTTCTCACTTCCTCTTTCATTCTCGATATGGCGCATAAGGCGCAGTGATACTGCGTCGTTTCATGCAATTCTTGTGATTGGATTTCTACCGATAATGTCGACAGGGCCGTCGATCTCGAATCAATAATACCTTCGAGATTTGTGCCAATATCTTATTAAATTTTTAATTAGATAATCAGGAAGGAGAATACGTTGTACGAGGACATGTATTGTCGGCGTGATTTGAGCGCCCTTGATAAGTCGGACTTGAAAACTTTTTTGATCTTATATAACGTGTTACTTCCTGATACACACAATAAATACTGGTCAAGCATCGTAAAAATACATAAAAATTTATAAATATCGTTTGTCAAATGATTGATCTATCGCAGGTAGATAAGTTATTTTCTGCAATCATTTGCATTAAATATCTGGTTTATTCATACAAAATAATTTTCAATTTATGACTATAAGTTAAATTAAATTTATTAGAGACAATAAGACATAACATTTAAAATATCCGAAGTCAATATATTCTTCAATCTGCTGATTAAATTTATTAGGTTCATTATCTCTTCAATTTTTTATATGTAAATCTTATATAAATTGATTTACATTGTATGATACTATCATTTTGAATTTTATAACTATCAATTTTGTATTTAATAAAAACGATTGTTTTCAATATTGTATTAAGAATTAAGACAAACACACGTTCATTGATTCAAATTGAATATCTACAGGAATGGGAAGAGTATTGGGAAGAATAGAGATAACGATATGCCTCTTTCTGCGTCATCCTAGCCGGCAACCTGTTCGAAAAACTCATGCCGCTGAAGTCACACGGCCCTGAGAAATTGCGCATGGCACGCATGTTGACGATTGCATTGCACACGCGACGCGTTGCGCGTTGCGCTTGTCAAGCCGCTCGGAACCAAGCCCCCGGATCTGGTGGGGAACGATCGATAAATTCGAAGCCACGACGTTCTACCAGCGAGTAAGCATTCCGCTGTATTATCTGGAAGTTCAAGTCACGACTGTAAAGCTACAAGCCAAAGCCGACCAAAATGCCGGGACCATGTGAGAAATGCAAGGGTAAGTATACTCATAAAAATGTTTAATGAACATTAATAGAGAATTTGACATGAAGTTTCCTCAATTATTGCTGTTGCTCTTTAAAGGAATTATTGGGGCACAGTGAAAAATGTAGCAGAAAGCAGACCTTTCTTAAGAAGGCGTCGCGCGATTAATTTATAATTATCATTGATTCGGCAGTGCATGGTCAAAGGGCAGTTGATTAGTTATTGAATTATTGAAATATCTTGTTGAAAATAATTGTTGTATGTTATACACGATTCTTAAATAATGTGGATTCTTAAAAATATATATATGTCTAGAATTGTAGTCTTTCTAATATATATATCTAATATGTAGATATCTTTAAATTATAATATATTTATAAATGTATAAAGGTATACACACTTTGATGTACTCTATAAATATATTTAATATATTCTAAACATTTAACAATTATAGGTGGAAATTTCTAAAATATTTTTTTTTAATTAGACTGATCAGAATAAATTAAATAGGAAAACGAATTCTATTTCCTGAGTTTTTTTGCTGTGTTTTAAGATGTTTAAAATTAGCATCATTATTAAATTGACGACAGATGTAATTTTTTTAGTTATTTCTAATTTGTAATATTGTGTTTTAAATCTGACAAACCGAATCGATGCGTAGTTTAAAGAAAAAAAATGAAAAATGTATTTGTAAATTCGCATATAAATATATTATTAAGTATCGATGTCCGCTTTGATAAAAAAAAAAACAAGAGTTTTTCTGTTATATAAAATCGAATCTCTTGAAAAATTTCTAAAATATTTAAAATAATATTTAAAATGTATTACAGACAAATGCCAGGATTGTAAGTGCGGTGACAATTGCTCGTGCTGCGATTCCGGATGCAAAGGTAATATTTATAATAGATATTTTAATAGTACACTTGTTGTGCACTTGCTTTTCTAATTGCGCAATTCGCTGTTTGCTCGTCGTATTCCTCTAACGAGTTATTATTTTTAATTACGACCATTTACGAGCTGTCGAACTCGTTTTCACAATGCTGTATCGGAATGTCTTTTTCCAAGCAGAATTGACGAACGAGAACGTGCGCCACCTAGTAACTGTACTCTATTTTTTATTTTCCATCCCGGACAATGACCGGTTAATAACGGTCACCGCCGACGCCAATAATATCCCTTAACACCGTACATTGCAATTTTGCGAGACTTGAGGCGCAATTTCGTTGTATGGCGCAATTGCACGTGATATGTTATTCGAAGCTTCTATGCTATACGGTCATTTCGATTATTATACGTAATGAGTCATGGTTTCCCGGAACATTATATGCATTCCTTTTTTGTTCTTTCGCTCACGTATGTCTCGTATTTTCTTTCGTCTTTACTTTTACATTTTTTTATTTTTCATTAAAATTCATTGTAGTAAAAAGTAATATTAAAAATTTTTATTTGCAAAAGTGAGAGAGAGAGAGAGAAGAAGAGTAGTAAATTTTTCAAAGAGTTATTTAAAGTGGCTTATTTATTAAATTTTATATAAACGGATGTGTGTGTTTTAATCTTTTTTATAGACAAAATTTAAATCTTGCTTTTGTGATAGTAAATAATATTTTTGTTATAGATCAATGTGGCTGCAAGACACAAGGTGGAAAGTGTACGTGCAAGTCTTGCACCTGTTAACTAATAATCATGTCAAGGATAATCCATGTTGGAGGTGATAATAAATCCTTAATGCGCTTGAATAAATCCAACATGTGCGCAATATTCGAAATATATTACTATCAATGTAAAATTATTACATTATTATCAATGTAAAATTTTATGCTTAGTGAAAATTAGAGATGCGACTCAAATTCTTCGCTTTTTTTGTTAGAGAGATAAACAATGAATGAATTAATAAAATTCACTTTAAATACGTTATACGTGTATATGTTTAATTTACTTTTCCCATTTTTCATATGCTAACGGTAATACTACCACACATTTATATACTGACAATAAGGTAAATATACTAGTTAGTGAATATGAATAAATTGTTGAAAATAGTGATAAATTATTCCAAATATTAAGCTTATAATGAATGTATGATTCTAAATAAAAATTCATTTCTAAATTTTTATAAATAACTTAGAGTTGTACATGTTAAAAACTTAATATTTGAAATGTTTTATCACTTTGTCCAACAATTGATTCATGTTTACTAACTGGTACATTTACTTTAATAAAAGGGGATTTTTTAAATATAACATTATTTTAGCTCTCTAAGAGTAATATAAAAAATTAATAATCAATTGCAAAATACTTGTGTAAATTTAGAAAATAAAATATTAATATAATATATTCTAAATTTAATCTTACGATTAGTTTTAGAAATTAAAAGATCAATTTTCTAGCAATAAATTTAATTTTTACCTTAAGAATTTCAATTTTTATTTTAATAATAAGTTTTTTTTTATTTAATTTAATAAGTTCTAAGTTCAAAATTAAAAAAATCATATAGCCCACTCGATTTCTATAGATTAACAGGCCGAAAAATAAATAAATATTTTTTATGATAACTCGTGCGAGATAATGCTTATCGCTATCTATATTTCTGCTGATATTTATGATTTGTAAGATGTATAACCGTGTACATCTTACAAATCATAAATATCATAAATAATTATAATACAATTTTTAAAGCTTGATTACAAAGATGTATTATAATTATTTCTATTAAAGAATCTTATTAAAACTAAGCATGAAATATCATTTTTTCAATATTTAAATCTAAAGACTGTCAATGTAAGAACATAACTAATACGAATACGAAGCCTATAACAGTCTAGCTTGGATCTTAGTTACTTATATGTAATTTCGAATTAAATTGATTAGCAATTTAATTCGTGATAGTAGTACGGTAGTTTATTAGAGTTGCATTTCAAAACCGACAATTGTTCGGTGCGCAGTTTAGGAAGACTACATATATTAGTAGATATAAATTCATGCAAAATTATAATTTGTTCATTTTTATTCTGATCCTTCGAATTTTATTTCTACGTTGAAAATAATTTGCATGATTAGAATCCGCTATTTCAAGTATAATATGTATTATTTTAATATTTGAATAAAATTTACAATATTTGAAACAACTGTATGTATTAGACAAATTCTTCAAATTAATTTGGTATTTTCTTCTATTTATTAATTCTTAAATTTTATTTAGATATTAAAAAAACATTCTAATTATTTAATATCTATACTTAATTGTACTCATTTGTTTTCTCTCTTTTTTTAAAAACAAAGATCTGTCTTTTTAGCTAAACTTTGTGTGTGTGTGTATAGTTAATCTTTTTTCCTTTTTTCTCCTATGTGAAAAAAAAATGAAATAGATGAACAAAAAATTATATTAAAAAGAACAAGTCTCAAGTGTATGGTACATGCATTATGCTAATTGTACGTGCAACGGCAATAAAATAACATAAATAGCGATAATATAGCGCATCCAGATTGAGAGAATGCCTATAAATTTATAGGTTTTTCTTTCCAGTGAAAGAATTTTTGAGGTACAAAACATTTAGGAGGATTTTTGTGGAAAAAGATACAAAAAATATCTAAATTAGGTCTAAAATATTCTGAAACTTACAATATTTGGAGATAACTTTTAAATAGACCTGGCGACACTGTAATAGCATTTTCCTGAAAGCGTGTGTGCGATAGCTGCGACGTGTTTGGTTCCTTTATTTCCTCGATTTGAAATTTCATGGTATCGCAATTGCGCGCCTAATCTAGAAAATTTATATTGTATAATAATGTATCTGACGTATACCGCAGTATAGTATTTTCGTATATTTTTTTATATGCTATACTTTTGAATAATAGGGTCCAGTCCCAATTGCATTTCTATGGTAATAGTAGTATGTTATTTGACCATCAGTAAATCACAGTTATCCACCTCGATGGATAATCGATTTTGTTCTACGTTCGGTCGGTATGTAATTAATCGCAACGTTATGTGAACATACATGAGGGCGCATCAGTCTGGAAAACATGTCGTCTCTAATGCCCGTTTTTATTTTCTATCAAAGGTAAGTTCTTTATTTCGGTTTATCTTGCTCTTCACTTTTTTCTAATTCTTACAGAAAAAAATGTTCAGTTAGTTACTGTGTTCAAACAAATATCTATTTATTAGAATTTAGTATATTTTTTCTCAATGTGTTGAATTAGACAAAGATGAAAAGTTTATTGAATCAAAATAGTTTAAAATAAATTAAACCAAGTATATTTGTAGAAGACCCGTTCTACTGAATATAAGATTAACTTCAAAGTTCAACTTTAGTTTACAATTTACAATAATTTATATATTTCTTTACGTTGATAAAATTGATCTTAAATTAATGCGCGATTAAATCTTTTTCAGGATTTTCTTTACTATGCTTTGAATATTTCGAATAACTATTGAAAAGCATTTATTTGTCCGATCGTATTTTTACGGTTTTTAATTACATAACAATACACTAATCATATTGGTAATTAGATAGATATAGACACTATATATTGATGATATATTATAATATTTATAATTATGATGTATACAAATGTTTTTTTATGTTTTACTCTTTTCGATATATATATTCTCCTCTATTTCTGTTTTTAATTCAAAGATTCAAAGTGATTTTATATCCTGCAACCAAAGGGCGATTATTATAATACGATGACGTCAAATCGTAGCAAACAAACTAAATGGGCAATTAGTCACGCGTAAATAACCAGTCATGAATAAAATGGGGTAAATATTTTCGCTTCTATTTATCGAAGCGAACGCTTCGCGCAACGTGAATAAGCTATCATTATTAAATTGAAATTGAAATCTCATGCTTAATGAGACGTAAAAATAATAATCGCTTAATGAAAACCTTTCATCGCTTATAGATTAGTAATTAATAAATTAATAAAATTAAAAAATAATAATTTTGCACCGTGGCAATACATTGAACTTTAGGAACTTTTCAGAAAGATATAGATAGCATTTAATTAAACGTTGGTGGAGGAAAATCATTTTAGTATTTGACAGAAAATATCGCCGGAAATGTGTTCATCAAACACGTCCATTCTTCTTCCGTCTGAACGCGCTGCGTGAAATTATTCTAGATAATTCGATTTCTGTGTATAATTCTTGTAAATTTTTAAAATCATTGAAAAGTAATACGATTATTTTTGAAGAATCAGAATTAATGTCGATTGCGGATTTATTTCGGATTATCTGTTGTTTGTTTTGCAATACCGCGATTATTATTACTCTTTATTACCCGTCAAATGTTATAACAGGCCATACGGAAACACAACAGATCAATTAATAATTTAATCTTTACATATAAACTGTTGGGTTACGCGGAATTGTATATATATTTTGGATTATTGCCCGATAGAGAGGCGGATCGAATAATTTTTGCTGCAATATAAATACGCATCACATTACTTTATACAGAGAATGTCCCGTATCGTGTATAATATTTTAATGGTATTAGGAATCAAATCAATAATAATGGGGTGATTGTATTGGAATATCAATAGCCTTTGTGTGACAAACAATTGGAAATGAAATTTTTGCATATATAAAGTTTCAATGGTAAAATAACATTGAGGCAGTTTTTGAACACGTAACATGAGATCTATTCTTCAATTAAATTCTCGCAAATGATCGTTAATAAAACTTTTACTTGAAGCTGAATCTAAAGATATTTAAAGTGAAAAATTGAGGCTATAGGGAAAATCGTTAACTATTTAAATTCAATCCCTCTTCGAATCAGTTGAATTTAATTACCTGTGAATTATAGTACCAGAGTGTCACGAGTCGATAATGTACATTTTGATATAGATAAGAAGTCGATATAAATAAGAATAATCGTACAGAGTGGTAATGAGTCACCGGTATACCTTTAATTGATAACCCGATTAATTATGCATTCGGACTTCGAGCGCAACACCACTTGGCCAGGTCAAACAAGGGTGGCAAGCCGTCCGGAATGCGGCATGCGAAGTACAGCTTGCGTGCGAAACGGTTGTGACCTAACGTAGCTTTCGTTAAAAGCGCTTAAATTTATAATGTTCCGGCATTATTGGTCGGTTGCTCGCAAACAACGAATTTAAGAACGCTCTCCGAAAAAGGTCTCTCTTTCTCTCTCTCTCTCTCTATGTCTCCTTTACACGATGTTATATTTATCAAAGTATATCGATTGCCATTTTGTATGACTACTGTGATTGTTCAAGTTTCTTGCCTTATCATTCATGGTAAGCTCATATTTCAGCATTTATTCAATTACTCATGCAATTCTTCCTACATGTAGGTACATTGAAAAAATGTACTAAATTTTAATAAATTATTTATTTGAATAGTACCAACTGATATAAATATTTATTAATATAAAGGTATATTCGCGCGCGCGCGTTTGGTATAAAATTTGATTTAATTTGATTTAATTTTTTTATTAAGTAAATATTTATTTACTGTAAATAAATATTTAGTTGATAACTATTCAAATATATATTTATTAAAATTAGTACATTTTTTCTGTGTGTTAATATCGAAAAAAGAATTATGTATTTTGTTGCAAAATATCTATTCTGTTAAAGACATTTGTGAATATTTTATACATTTTATTTGGCACATTCTAATATTATGTGCATTAGAGTTTTGTTCTCTAAAAAAGTCTCATAATAATAATTAAGTTTAGAGAGAGAGAGAGAGAGAGAGTAGTTCTTAAAATTTTAGAGAAATACCTTCAATCAAATATTCGTTTAATATAACCGAAATCAACTATCCGCTAATTTTACTTTTCTAATTATTATTCTATTTTTTGATTTATTATACTAAATAAAAAAAAAGTTGATTATTATTATAATAAGTCTTTCTCTTTTATATTCTTACAC